GACTTCTAGATAGGAAATATATTTTGAAACTCACAAAGATTTTCATAATCATACAAAAATAGGTGCAATACTATGTTTTTTTCAGCTAGAAAAGTAATTAATTAATCAAAAGATTACACTTGTTTCTTCAATATGACTTTTATGTTATATCTAGATAAACAAACATTTACGTTTAAATATTCTTAATTCATAATAGATAACGTCCATGTGTTTGTCATACAGCAAGATACATATCAAAATGAATATTTGTGATAACCGGTATAGGGTATATATCAATAGCTATGTACATGTTTACTTGAAAATTCATAGAGAATATTATTACGATTTGCTGTTAAACTATTACTTGCAACTGCCCCAGAAACATGTATCGGGAAATATTATTAGAGTGGCGAGAACTGAGTGGAAGTACTATTAAACAGTGATGAAACAGAAATTAACAAATTAATTTCTTGGTCACAGACAATGCAACACATGCAAATAACATGCCTTTAGACAAAATAATGCTTGACAACACACTGAAAAACACTTATCTGTACTGGTTTGTGTTTGTGATCGATATATCGCCGTCTAAGGCTGTTACTCTTTATTAAATCTCATTTGATGGGACCTTGATACACAAATATATATACAGACTGTTGGTCTGTATCAATTCTCATTTGATGGAACCCCGATACACAAATATATATATAGACTGTTATTCTGTATCAATTCTCATTTGATGGGACCTTGATACACAAATACGTATATAGATTGTAATTCTGTATCAAATCTCATTTGATGGGACCTTGATACACAAATATATATCTATATATATATAGACTGTTGGTCTGTATCAAATCTCATTTGATGGGACCTTGATACACAAATATATATATATATATATATATCTCATTTGATGGGACCTTGATACACAAATATATATATAGACTGTTGGTCTGTATCAAATCTCATTTGATGGGACCTTGATACACAAATATATATATATATAGACTGTTATTCTGTATCAAATCTCATTTGATGGGACCTTGATACACAAATATATATATAGACTGTTGGTCTGTATCAAATCTCATTTGATGGGACCTTGATACACAAATATGTATATAGATTGTAAGTCTGTATCAAATCTCATTTGATGGGACCTTGATACACAAATATATATCTATATATATATAGACTGTTATTCTGTATCAAATCTCATTTGAAGGGACCTTGATACACAAATATATATCTATATATATATATAGACTGTTGGTCTGTATCAAATCTCATTTGATGGGACCTTGATACACAAATATATATATATATAGACTGTTGGTCTGTATCAAATCTCATTTGATGGGACCTTGACACACACACACACACACACACACACACACACACACACACACACACACACACACACACACACACATATATATATATATATATATATATATATAGAGAGAGAGAGAGAGAGAGAGAGAGAGAGAGAGAGACTGTTAGTCTGTATCAAATCTCATTTGATGGGACCTTGATACACAAATATATATATATATATAGACTGTTGGTCTGTATCAAATCTCATTCGATGGGACCTTGATACACAAATATATATATATTGCATACAATTTTACTTAAAGACGTGTCATCTGCAATTGATTTAATGTCACTTTGTTGCAGCATAAGCTATGTCATTTATATATAGGAGAAATAAAACCGGACCTAACACCATAGGATTCTATATAAAAGTCCTTCATGCCTAACTCTATCAAAGGCTTTACTTGTGTTACAGAATACAGAGCGTACTTCGTGTCCTTTATCAAGGGATTTCATAATTTTATGATATATCTATAACAGTTGATTCACAGTTGAATCTCCTGGAATAAAATTAGATCGGGTTTTTTTTTTATTATTTCACATTCTCGTAAATAGTTTGATAGATATTTCAAGATTACTTTTTCTCTCATTTGTTAAAGCATGAGGTAACTGAGATAGGGCGATAATTAGAAACATCATTTTTCACCTTGTAAATAACATTGATGTTTGCAACTTTCCAACATAATGGGATTTAGCCAGTTTCCATGGTTTTATTACAAAGAAAGGTAAGAGGACGGGTAACAGAGAGTGTTAATAGAGTATAAATTTTGACAATTCCCTCAGCACCAGCGGGCTTTTCTCATTCCAAGTAGAAAGTTGGTATTTAATGTCCTGTTGGGAGAACACAATGTTGTCAATCACAAAAGCAAAATCAAGAGGAGGGGGTAGAGGACCTAGATCATTAGAGGAGGCAGAGGTCCTAGATCATTAGAGGAGGTAGAGGACCTAGATCATTAGAGGAGGTAGAGGACTTAGATCATTAGAGGAGGTAGAGGTCCTAGATCATTAGAGGAGGTAGATGACATATAACATTAGAGGAGGTAGAGGACCTAGATCATTAGAGGAGGTAGAGGACCTAGATCATTAGAGGAGGTAGATGACCTAGATCATTAGAGGAGGTAGAGGTCCTAGATCATTAGAGGAGGTAAATGACCTAGATCATTAGAGGAGGTAGAGGACCTAGATCATTAGAGGAGGTAGAGGTCCTAGATCATTAGAGGAGATAGAGGACCTAGATCATTAGAGGAGGTAGAGGACCTAGATCATTAGAGGAGGTAGAGGACCTAGATCATTAGAGGAGGTAGAGGACTTAGATCATTAGAGGAGGTAGAGGACCTAGATCATTAGAGGAGGTAGAGGTCCTAGATCATTAGAGGAGGTAGGGATAGATGAATAGTATGTATTCAGACATTCTGCTTTATCAAATGGATATTGTGTCAGTAAGAGGAGCAACTCTGGTTTATTTACTGTCTGTTTTAGTAAAAAAAATCGCTATTTTCCACCGCTTACCAGGAGGTACGTTATCGTTATCTAATGATGCTTCACGTTTCAGGAGGTATTGATTTCTCTAATCAAATCTATTGTTTAATTACTAATTAATCTATATCTTTCCCAATGAATGGGAGAGTTCAAAATAACAGTCTTTTTAGGGATGCTATTTCTTTGCCTGATCTTTAATATAATAGTTTGAATAAACCATTGTCATTTGGTCGTATTGTAACTGGACGATGGGCTAAATGCTCTTCAGTTTGTTTATTTATAGGTTCCACCAATATAGTATTGATATCGTTCACATCATTGTTCTGGGAAATAGAAATGCAGTCAATATTACTTAAATTAACATTTATCCTCTCAATGTCATCACCATCATATTCAAATATTGTTTTCTTGTATGCAGTAAGTTTATATACCGAAAATTATATGCTAAATTTGATAAGACAATGATCATTACAAATAGGAGAAAAAACAGAAGCATCATTAATTAGCCTGTTGTTGTTAGTAAGAACAATGTGAATAGAAGAAGTGGGTGTAATTCTTTTCGGTTCATTGATTAAACCGATTAAATGATATTTTTGTAAATATTACATTTTTATGAATATATATAAATTTAACCGGGTACTCCGGTTTCCTCCCACACTAAGACCCCTCGCGCGCTTCCATCCAAGCCTACAAGAGTGATTTATATAAGTTTGAAAAACTTGCTTCGCAATTGTTGTAAAATACACAAAGTTTATTATTAAATTATATTTCGTAAGTAGTTGACCTAAATGAGAGTGTGATTGAAGAGCTATCATATCTACATTTGTGTCCCCTGTTAAAATTACATCAGTAACATTGTCATCAAAAACTTTATCATTTATATCATCCACTTTTCGCCAATATTTAATTGTAGATTCAGGTCTGTAAATGCATCCAAGTAATACCTTATGGTTGCTGACTAAATCTTTATGTTATGTTATCTTTATGACTAAATGTTTATCTGATACCTGTAAATATGTCTTTTGTTCATAGTTTGTCCCGATTACATTTCATTCGAGTTTGTATTATGGTTATATTGACATGTTGATATTTTCTCATTTTTTAACAAAAAATAATCCGTGAACCTTATTTGGAGACACATACGATAAACGCTATCCGAAACATAAATCGTTGATCTGTTCCTTGAGTTGTTTTGGGATCTGTTGTCAACCACTTTGAATTTCCATATACAATATCATAGAGCGCTTCCAGCACCCGATATTTCAAGGTAAAATTACGGAAACGTATACGAAAACTTCACAAAAATGTTGATTATTTATATTTTCTAACGATGAGCATAGCTCATCGGAAGGTAAGCTCTGCTTTCAAACGGTAATATCCATAATTTATATACTCACTATGATCATGACATAAACTGTATCGGCTGTTTCCCTTTACGCCAACTCTGCAGAACATCAAAGGGATCATTTTTCTATTGTTCAAGATAATTGAGGGGCCCCAAGAAGGGGTACTTGGGGTGGTATACAGGTAAACTCCGGTAAATATATCTGATAAATACTTGTAACAGTTTTTAAGGTAAGTAATAAGAAATTCAGACATAATATAAACTTAATACATTTTATTTATTTTATTAATATGACATTAATAATAGACCATATGAAGATTACAATTAATAAACAATAATAAGCATATTATCATTTAAATTAAGCACAGAAATAACTTTTTCATTTTTAGTTTTATAATGTAGCACTAAATTCAACATATACATACTAAACTAAATTTAACTAATTAATTTTCAATTTTCAATATTTGATATACAAGCACTATTTTCATAAATTAAATACCTAACAGCACTAACTATTAGAATGTTCATAAACACGTATGTAGCACTAATTAATATTCACATAAAGCACAGAGTCTATTTATCCAAGATGAAGTAGATGTGATGCTGAATCAGCGTAGGTCATCAGGTCAATGGTTCCGTTTCCGTATCATATCGAGTGTTGTAAGGCGGGGGTCAATGTTGCAGTACTTCTTCGCACGCGGTCGGGTGGTTCCTCCAGCTTCTCTCTGCATTCTGTTGATGACGTCGGCATTGTCTATTTCCTTGAATGTCTGTATGATGGCAAATATATTCGGATGAGCGTGTTTCACCTTCTTCTTTAGTTTCCGTGCCAGGCTTCTAGGTTGTTTGTTGTTCGTGGTCCATCTGTTTGGAAGTGATTCCACAAGGGTCTGTCTCCTTCCACCCACTGCTCTGTAACATAGTCTGTGAAAGGTGTTGTGTTCTGTGGTACTTCAGCGTCTTCTAGATCTTCTTGTGTCTGTAACCATACGTCTTTTATGCAGTCCATTGGTACAAGTGGTAGAACAGCTGCATGGCGGATAAGGGTCCTAACATCTTCGTTGTCCCGATATAGAGTTTGCAGTCCAGTTGTCTGTGCTTTTTTCCATACACTCTGGGTGAAATGGAAAAAACAGCCTTTCATGGTGATTCCTGGGATTGTCTGGCGAATGGCGTTGTGTACTGCTACTTCAAAGTCGGCGAATGCATGGGTTGGGGCGAAAGGCAGGTACAGTTGAGTCATGTGTTCCTTGAGTAGGGTAAACAGTCGAGTGTAGATTCTTTGACTCTTTCCTGGTAGTAGCGCAAATATGACTGGCGTCATCCTTCCATCAATAACCACATGGATGCTGTAGATCTGATGAAACAAGCTCGGGCTCGTTTAAAATGTTCCATCACAGTAGAATGTGTCGGCAGTTGAGAGATATCGTAGGTTCTCCGTAGTGGCGAAGGCTATAATTCGGTTCTGCTGATCTCCGTCGTCAAAAAGAAGAAATCTGTCTCCGGTTGATGTTTCTGTCCACTTCCCTTCCAGTCTGATGTCAGAAAGAGTCTTTGGTAGCGCTGGGAATTCCTTTTGGCGGGCTCTGTAGAGTGACGACTTGGCTGTATTGAAGGTAGGCAGTCGCTGTACCACCGCTTTGCAGTCTTCATCCCATTCCTCATCTCGGAGCTTGCGGAGTTCTTCTTCGTATATTGCTGGTATGGGTCTGACTTCTTTAAGACATCTCTTGGTGATGCTGTTTCTGATCTGCTGTGCTACAACTTCTGCATGATCTGCTGGATGGTTGTGTTCTTGTCTTCCAAAAGCAACTGGTATGTTGTTAAGGGCAGAGAGGGATCCCTCGACAAGATTTTTCACCATTTCTGCGTATGATTCTGTAGATGAAACCATTATAGGCTAAATTCTGGCCCCTTTTCTTGTTAATTACGAACTTCAAATTCAGCTGTGCGTTTGCCATGTTACTTGATATGAGTGTTTCACTATGAATGTAAAGTATGATGCAGTCGCTGTATTTATACAGAGTGCAGTTGGCTTGGAGTGTTCAGTGTGATAAGTATTCAGGTTAACAGCTTGGACTTCTCATCATCAGTTATAATCTGTGCTACAGTAGTTAAAACAACTAAATAAACTAATAAATGGTGTCAAAGTATGAATATAAAGTATGATGCAGTCGCTGTATTTATACAGAGTGCAGTTGGCTTGGAGTGTTCAGTGTGATAAGTAATAATGTTTTTTTTTTCTATTGTTAAATAATATAATTTTCAAATAATTTTTTTTTTATTGAACAATATAAATTTCAAATAATTATTTTTTCTCCTTAAATTTAAATAATATAGCATTCAAAAAAATCTTCTTTTTTCCTAACATTTCAATTTAATTCTCTATTCAAAATCTGAAAATATCCCCATTTATGGCTTAATATTATCAAGTCACAGGTAACTACTCCACAGTAGCTGTTCCCCAGAGCCCCCATGAGGTACCCCAATTTTGTTGACTTAAATGGTAAAAACAACACCAACTGCCATATGTGTTTTTCAGAAAGTTGGCGTAAAGGGAACACACCACTGTATCTGATTCGCAAATAAATGAATAAAAGAAAAAAAAATAGGATTTTTTCCCCTGAATTACGGTAGTTATTATTGTGTGACATAAATCTATACATATATATATAAATTTGAGGTTCTTTTAACTTTTTGATGTCATTCCCTTCATGCCATGATAAGAGTGACAGTATTGAGATGACAGATGTAATCTGTCTAGTTATATTAGGGAGACGATATAAATATTAGAAAGTTCCGTATCCGGAAATTTTTTTTGTCAATCGAACATTAGCATAATCATTATTCTAGCTCTTAAAATGTTTATCAAATGCAGCCAAATTTAAAATTGATTCATAAACACAATTTAAAACAAAAAGAAACCACTCTCAATTTATTTTTGATACTGATAGTTTCGCCTCAATTTTAGCCTTGTGACGACCATGTGAAGTACATAGATAATCTGAAGGAAGCACGAGGTAATTAACAGCTTGGTAAGTTTCATCTCCTTCGAAAGGTCGGAAACACAAACATCTGCCATCCAACTAAAAAATATTGAATTATTCTAATAATACATTTTACCATCAATATTCTATTCTGTGATTATTAAGTACAAATACTTCAAATAGGAACTATTATTTCTATTTTGGTGTCATATTAATGTGATAACAATAAAGCTACCAAGCATGGTTATAATCATGGAATTTTTTCATATTGTAAAATAAGATTTAATAAATTTGAAAAAAAAATAGATAAAAATAACGTTCAATGATATGTTACAGATATTCGTAAAACCAATGGTCTTCATTGACATTCGTGTTTTGAAACCCTATATAGTTAATTTTCACTGGCTAATAAAGGCTAAAAATTCGCGATATTTTCAACAAATTCTTGAATATCAAATCTTTCTGGAAGCAGACTTGTTGCATTACATATGCAGGGAAAAACGCAACAATGACAATAAAGAATACTGGAAAACTGTCCATTCTGTTTTTCTTTCCATAAAATAGTATTCACAAAAATATGGATCGAATGTCTGGCTGAACAATTTCTATGTTGAATGGTCCAGAATGACATGAAAGAGTGTAAAGTTAATACAGCATTGGTCTGATACAAATAATTCATAGATAAAGGGAGGTAAATCGTAAAACCGTACGCAGGCTTAATATCCGGCATTACACCAAGTACAATCGTTCTTTTACACAATCCGATAATGTATAGGCTTAAGAGATTTGATCTGTTTTGATTTTCTGGAGATATTTTAAACGAGCTAAAAGATATCATAGTCCTGCCTCGATGGTGATGGAGCTAAATGGAAAGTGTAACAACGTGGACATAGTGGTGTGTTCTTTAGCCATGTCCAACCCACCACTCAACTGATCGGCTCAGCGGAAACGCACAAAAGCACGTTTATGTAAGCAGTTTTAGTTCCCAAACTATCATAATGCTAAGCGTGAAGGAGCTATTTCAGAATATCAGTAAGAGATTACCATGTGAGTAAATTATAAACAACCCCTTAATTCAATAAAAATGGTTGAATATATTCTGCTGACATTGCGTAGAAATATGACACAAAATGAATTTACTTGTAAAAGATGTGACCGATATAGTTTATTATCTAGTGTCAACAAATTGATGAGGCGATGAAATTACCCTATATATATAAAGCAATACTGCTTGCTGGTTACTTAAACCTATGTATGAATATTGCCTGGATTTCCTATTTTAAACGAGCATTCGAAGGGGCAAATTATGATGTTGGAATGAAATTAAAACTATGTAATAAATCGCATGCTATGTTCTTTACAATATATCAGAAACAGGTGTGTATGGCCTTTATCTCCGATGTCGTTGCAATCTTTTGGACTGCCTCGTTTTGACTTATCAACGTCATGTAATTATCATCGCTTTATTTCGGAAGGGTTTCCAGAACAATCTGGGTGGTCCAACTGGACACATAGACTATGAGTATAGATGTAGTATTAAGGCATAATCGGGGTTGTAAATGATATGGCAATTTACTATTCAAATTAATTAAAACACGACAAGAGGCTACAAGCGTTGTATATAAGAAACGCCGTTAAATACCACCATCACCAATCCCACAGGTCTTAACTTTAGGCAAAAAACTTGTTCGTTGTTACCAGACTTTAGCGCCAAAAGCAACACGTTCCACGCGCATCACAATTTGTAACATTTGCTTACTTGATCCATTGAGCTTATTAAAGGGTTTTGTCAAGTTGATACGCGTTGTTCATAAATCCTTCGTTTAATGTTATAGTACATTTTCGAAAATGTATGATTTCGAAAAAGTGGGTGACTCTCGCGAATAATAATTCCAGGTCTAGCGCGGAAAATAAAATATAGATGTTGCTAGAAACCATAATCAAGTTGGAGTTTTATATACATATAATTTTTTTATTTTTGAAAAGTTTGCAACAGTATAAAATGCACGTTATCTATATTTCCTTTATACATACATGGAACTTATTTCTTTTCATTCTTTTAAAATATGAACGCTTTGTCATTTGATTTATTATGAAATTGTATATACACCTAGGTACATTTTAAATACCAAACGTATTTAGTAAATCACGTGTGTATCCATACCATACATTTACATGTAAATACCACAAAGCAAAAAGCCATATGTTATTTTTATTGTACTGCTTTGAGAGAGAGAGAGAGAGAGAGAGAGAGAGAGAGAGAGAGAGAGAGAGAGAGAGAGAGAGAGAGAGAGAGAGAGAGAGAGAGTTTAAATAACTTCATGTAGAGCGGTCTCTCCTGATACAAACAACAGAAGTAAAAATACAAAACGCTTTTCATAACTTTCAAACTTTTCTACAGTTCATCACATCCCGTGCGAATATCGCTTTCTCCTGGCATCCGGGTCCTTCATAAAAAAAAAAAAAAACGTCACCACTTGTGTCGGAGCAAGGAGTGACCAAATATTTTTACATTTATCACGGAAGGAGATAGAGGGAGGTAGATAGAGAGATAAAGATCAAAATCTGTTTGAATTAAGTATATATTGCTGAGTGATTTGACATAATTTTACATTATCTTCATATGAGTAGATAATACTACCATGTAGGAGTAACTGCAGGTCTAGAGGGATAAAATTATTTAGTTCTCGGAACAGAATGGCTCTCTGGTCCGAATAAATATTACAAACAAAAAAATAGTGGTAAGTATCTTCAACAGGGTGTCCACATTGACAGAAACGATGATCTATTAGATTGGATCTGAAAAGATCATTATTTAAGGTACTGGATTTATTTCTTAACCTAGCGTGTAGTATATTAGCCTTACGACTACCAAGCAAATAATAATATGGAACTAGTGTAGTGGGTCGAAGAGAATGTTTAAAGATAGAGTAAGAAACACTTTGTCTAAGTTCAAGTTCAAGTTGGTTCCAAAGTCGGATAGTGGACGGAAAGAAAGATAAGTTTGTTAGTTGTAGTCTGAAATTTAGTAAAGAATAATTTTGTGCTCCCGTTAAAGCCCCAATATACGTAAAAATCACTATAAAAAAAAACTTTATCTTATTTCCCCGTAATATATGTAACAAAACAAATACTTTCCTTTAATTAAGGAAAATAAAAATGACTGTTTTCAATTTAAATAAAAATTGAAAAACTCGGAAAATAAACGATGTGGGACCAACAATAATTCATACATTACCGCTCGTAGCGATGACATTGCGCATATTCCGCGTGTGTAAACATGGCAGACACAGTAAAGGCGTTCACCAGTCGCTTCCTTTTTTTTCAGTCATACATC